GTAGGTGTAGAGAAGTCTATCCCTAGCCAATTTATTTAAAGTGGGTAAGGAAGTCAAAATGATGTATGCTGAACATTATGAACAACAGTTTTGGTTATTTTAACCCTAACAATCTGCTCCCGCAAATTTACTGTCCAACTAAGTCGCACTAAAACGCAATAACAGTGAGAGCCCAGGGTACGCCCTTCAAAGTTCAGCGGTTCGAGTTTTCCTCAGTATCACATCCTCCTGCAGGAGTGGGAGCTTGATGTATGACCTTTAGATCTAACCGTCGCTTAGAATGGCCGAGTGGCTCTCCAACATCGTACAGCAACTCTCGCCTCGAGAAGAATCACGCCCCCCATTGGGATCTCCAAAGAGTAGTCGCCGGCATCCAGCGCCCGCCTCTAAGGCTCGCGCAAATACCGTGATAAGTTCGAATCAGAAGAACACTTCCAGGACAATGGCCTCCGCCGTGGCCAAGGTTGAAACGCCAGAGACTTCAGTGGCCTCAGAAACGCCTTCACTTGAATTGCAATTCCAGGCGCGCAGCAAAGAATTGTTGCAAGAACAACCAAATCTGGTGCCTTTGAGCGACGGCGGCCAACCTAACTCGGATGGCGAATATGGGAAAGCGGATGCAGACGCTACGAGTTCCAGCCCGGTAGCGTTGGTAAAACCAGGAGATTCGGTAGGAGGGTTGGTGTCCGGCGTAGAGGGTGTCAAGGCAACGACAGGCACTTCACCCACTGAAGCAACAGCAGCAGGAACTTTGGCGGGATCTCCTAAATTTGCAGCTGACATGATGCAGAACGCCCAGTCCGCAGTTTCTTCTGGGCCTCAAGGCAGCGCCGTCACCAGCAATGGGAACAGCAAGGCTGAGAGCAGCGGGAACAGTGGTGGGAGCAGGGGCTCCGAGGACGAGAATACACGAAAGAGCCCTACGAACACCAGCACGACAGACCGCACTAAAGGTCCAGCCAGCCCCACAAAGAGGAGAACCCTTCCAGTACTCCCGGCTTCAAAAAATGAACCGGGTGAAACCAGTGCAGGTTCTAGTCGGCAGGACGAGAATAACAACAAGCAATCTAAGCGAGGCACCGGTTCAGGTAACAACGGCGGGACGAGTGACACGGGAAATTCGTCAGCGGAGGATTCCCGTACCGCTGTTGCAGGCAGTTCAAGCCCAAGGGAGTCGATTTCACACAATACCGCTGAAGAGGTGCTGGTGCCAGTGGCTGGCATGGTTGGAGGAGAGTTGGCAGCGATGATCAGCAGCACGAGGGCTTGTGTGTACGAGGCCACGGAGTTCTTTGTGGCGTGGCAAGGCGTGCTCACGGTGGCTTATTCAGGGATTCCTCCCGCTCTTTGTGAGGTACGATGAGGTAACGGACCTTGACGAATCGGAAGATTTTGGGATATGGTGGGCGCTCGAAAGGCTTGCACTTGCTTTCTTTCTGCCCATTTTTTTGCACCCATCATAGTAGTGTTTTAATGTCAACGGCTGTGTTGTTCCCATGCCCTATCCTCCTCTTGTGCAGCTGAAAGATCGCATGGGAGGAGCATTGCAAAGTATGGTACCTGAGAATCCTGGCTCGCGATGGCCGAAGACCACCCTGGCGTGTCTGCGGGACGACCAGAGGCTCACACCTGAGCAGCTATCCACCCTGAGGGATATCTGCAGGTCAGTGCCTATGCTTTCTCAAGTGTAAAGTTTGAAAGGAATGGTTAAAAGATGGAGCTTGGAGTTTTGTTGCACCACAGTCAGCTTTTTGTTGTATTGTGCTGTGCTACAATCAACCCACCTCGTCTCTTTTGCTGCGTCCTTCTCATCCCAACCCACTCCAGCACAATGAGCTTTCAGCTGGCCCTCGCCCCGCCTGTGGTTGTGGACACCCTCTCTGTGGTGCTCTACGAGAACTGCTGCCTGGAGAAGCTGATCACTGCCACCCACATTCCCTTGCAGCATCCTGTAGACCCTTCACCCCCGTCGCTCGAGCAGCGGCAGTACGTCCGTGGTGTGGTGGACGAATTTGGCTCCAAGAACCTTGCAAAATACTGGCTGCATGCCTCTAAAGATGGTGAGACCGGAACGAAGATAGAAGGAGGAATTATGGTTGGAAGATATGGGGACGGTTTAAATAGAAAAGGGTGTTTCTTCATTCTTGTCGATCCTAGCCTGTTCTCCTTGCTGCCGCCTCAGTCCTCCCATCAGTTCCTCCCTGCTATTCCTCACCCCACTTGCCCTGCTCCACCAGGCAATCGATCGAGCCACTACCGCAAGCCCAAGATGGGAGCCACAGTGGTTCACTTTCTGGCTCCCCACGAGGTGCCTGCAGCTCTTTCTGTCTTCAGGCGCCTGGTTGACACTGCCCTACCGGGCCTTTATGAGTGGTTCTCGGATGACTCCCTACATATCACTCTCCGTGCCCTTTGTTGAACGGTGGGTGCATACATGTTGAAAGCGCCTGCCCATCTTTGCTTCGTCTCGTAACCTCTTTTCGACCCTGCTCTCCACCCCCTTCTCGCATCCCCTGATCGCTCTTCCTCTCCCTTTTCCAGTAAGGCGTTTTCCTTGTCACGCTTTTTCGTGTGTCATGCACATGTTGTTGGTGTGCTTGCGTGGATGGACAGTATACCGGTGCCTAACATTGTATGGTTACTACCTCTGCAGGTCATTGTACAGAAATATGTGCTTCAGCATAGGTGGTTCCGAGACAGTGAATTATTCAGCTGCGATGAACTCGGCAGCAACTGATGCAGCATAAAGAATATTACATGTATGTTTAACCTTGCAGGAACGGTGGTTATGCTGCTGTCATTGTTTCCTTGTGCTGGTACCTGTGCTGGTTCTGAAACTCAGGGTACATTCCTGTGTCGACATTTGTGTCTCAATGCCCCTTTTCCCGAGTCGCGCCTGTAAATTTACAAATTCGAGCGTCACAAACAACTCAATGTACCGCGACACTGTGCGACACAGAGCTTGTTACAGGTGGCCCAATTTCACTGGCTCACAACAAAAGGCCCGATCACTCGTGGTTTTGGCGCCGGGCACGCCTGGGAACAAATTCACAAGCACCTACCGTAACCAACTACGGACGGATGCTCGCTGGAAAGATGCATCCCACAATCGAGTACAAAGCACAACATGCCATCGTAAATGCATACTTCAGACGCCTGCATCTCCACTGCACACTGCATCCCGCGCGAGTGTGCAGTGATGGCGGAGCCCCGAGCTGTACCATTCCTCATGCGGCTCCTTGTCGCATGGATCACCTTCTACTACACCATTTTCATGGACGTAGTAGGACGCGCTGTCGGCGGCATGCTTGAAGGCGATGTCTTCGACAGTGAAGACTCGACGGCCGAGAGCTCACGCGGCTCCAGCAGGACAGAAGAGCGTGCGAGGAGGGCGCGCTTGCGTCGGCGGAGGTACAGGCTACTGGGCGAAGACCTGCGAGCAGGGCCCTAGATATCAGACTTTGGAGTCTGATTCAGAGTCCGTTCAAACTTTTTTTTGTAGCCTAGTCTGAACTCCAAGAATTTTTTTAGGGACCCTGTCTGATTTTCCAGAGTTTTTTTACATGACTTGTCTGAAATTTCAGACTACTTTGAGTAGTGTACGCTGACCCTCAGACTTGTATCGGGGGTGCACTCTGAAACCGCTTATACAGGGGTTTGGGCCTGCCTGGCGGCGTGTAGGCTTATCCCCGCCAGTCACGGGCGGGAACCCAGAAATTTCGCCACCGCGGCACCGCACAGTCGCGTTGGTACAGAATTGCTGTGATCAACACCAATTCCAACCAATCGCGGCTGCGCAACAGGCAGTGTTGGCAAGATTCCTTGCCAAAACAAGAGTAAAATTCGAGTGCTAGTCTGTAACATCAGCGTTGAAAAGTTTGTGGAGTCTGAACTTTCAGACTTTAAAATTTGGTCAACTCTGACAGCCAGACTAGGAAGAGGGGTGTACTCTGAGGCCTCAGACTAGCTCAAAACGAATCTAGGGGCCTGCCTGCGAGGCATGGGAGACACGGAATTCAGGGACCTGTTCAGGATCAACCGTGAAATCCTTGCATACATTGTTGCTGGAATGTCGTACTACATGCTCCCTTACGTCGAGCGCCACTTCATCACCCACGACATAGCAAACCTGGTAGCCATAAAGTACCTTGCAAGTGGTATGGCGTACGTCGACCTCTCGCACTTCTTCGGACTCTCGAAGACGCTCTGCCACGCCCTCGTCGACATGTGGCTGATGCACTTCCCGAGCGTCTTAAAGGAGCAGTGGGTGCACTTCCCCACCGCGGAAGATCTTGCCGAGATGGCCGAGGAGTTTCGCGCGGTCAAGGGGGTACCTGCGGTGGTGGGGGCTATTGATGGGACACACATCCACATCAAGGGCATGGAAGGTCACAGGCAGGAGTACTACACGAGGAAGTCCGACTACGCCGTCCAGCTGCAGCTCACCTGCGATGCGAGGGGAATCATCTGGGATTACCTGATAGGGTACCCGGGAAGTGCACATGACCAGCGGGTGTTCATGAACAGTGCACTACAAGAGAGGTTGCACAACGGCGACATAGCGCCTTATCAAATCGTGGGAGATGCAGCCTACCCACTCAGAGATTTCTGCCTCACCCCCCTACATGCTCCCAAGGAGGGCCTAATGGAAGACTGGGCGCAGTGCTTTAACTATTGCCAAAGCGCCACGCGCATGGCAGTAGAGCGCTGCATCGGGGCCTTCAAGGGCAGGTGGCGGCTATTCGCGGGCCGCAACGACTGCCAGCTGTGGCGCGTGCTGGCAGGTGCGTCTTGCTGCGTCGTCCTGCACAACATGTGCGAGATAATGGGAAAGGTGAGGCGCGTCAATGAGGTGTGGGCATCACTGCCTCGGAACCGAGACCCGTGGTGGACCAGAGGCGCGGTTGCGGAATTCAAGTGGGAACCCTGTGTCCCTCTGACTCAAGCGACACCGAAGGAGAGGCGCAAGCGTCTCGGTGAGGCGTTGGAAGCGTCTTACCTTACTCGGCGTCGCCGCGAACCCACACTTCCTCAGCCTCGTCCGGGTTAGCTGCATCCTCGCCGGTCTGCCCGCGACGGAACCAGCCGTCCTCGCCGCCGTCGAATGCGTTCGGGGCCGTCGGGGGGGGAGCGCCCGCATTCGCGCCGTTGCGGGCGGTCGGCGCGGGAGCAGTCTGCTGGAGGCGCTCGCGAGCAAGACGTTCGTCCTGCTGCATCCATGCGCGGACAAGCCCTTCGAGCTTGCACATCGCGTCATCGTGGCAGCCCTTGATCGTCTCACAGACGAGCTTCGCGGCCGCCATGGTGGCCGTCTCCGCCACGCGCGGGCGCTTGGAGGGCGGTGTGCACTGCGGGGGGGGGGCTGCACACGCAAGAAATAGCAAGGGAGGTGGTTAGCATTGTGTTCTTGCACGGCATGCCATACAATGAATGAAGTTGTCTTTGGAAAACAACAAGTGCATCAGGACACTTTAATGAAGAACCCGAAAGGCAGAAACGTAAGCACACAACCAGCATCGGCGAATGCAAAGGCGGCATCACTCACCCGTGAATGTCGGCGTAGACGTTGCAGGCGCCGAGGTGGAAGGCACCGTGAAGCCACACGGCGCGTTAACGTTCGTCGCGCCGCCTGCTGCCACGGCATGCGGGTTGGCGACGGCCCTGTTGTTCAGAAACAGCTCCATGTACGGGAACCACGGGGGCTTGCACACGGTACCCTTGCCCGACGCCTTCTCTGCCTTCTTGAGCTGCTTGTAAAACTGCACGAGGTTGCGCCACTGTTTCTGGACGGCGTTGACGCCACGGACCCACCCCGGGTTCTCCTTCTCCAGATGATTCACAAGGCGCGCCCAGTACTGGGACCCCTGCTTCCCAAGCAGGGGCTCTAGTTCGTCCTTCATGAACCAGCGGGCAGCGACGAATATGGTGTTCTCCAGCGGGGACCACACGCTGCGCTTCACAGGCATCTGGTTGCGGGTCGTCGGCGCGCGGCGGGGAGGTTCGCCACCCTTGGAGGCTGCCTTGGCCGATGCGGCGGGCGTTCCACGGCCGGCACGCGTGGTCGGCGCCGCGGGCTGAGTTTCTTCAGGTGCGTCGGCCTCATCCTCGGAGTCGTCGCCCTCGCCGTCGTCCTCGGAGTCGGACATTCCCTTGTCCGGCTCCTCCCCCGAGTCCGCCTCGTCGTCGGTGCCGACGGCGTACTCGTTGTCGTCGCTATCCTCATAGTCGTCCTTGTCGTGGACGTCGTTGCTGACGACGCGCGAGGACGCAACCCTGTCAGCGTCCCGACGCCCGCGCGTGGGGACGTCACGAGGCGCTTCGTACGAGGTGGCTCCTGGAGACGGTACGCCATCAGGCAGCGGGCCGGCAGGCTTGCGTCCAGCCGCTATCTGCTTGTTGATCCATGCTATGTACGGGATTTCATTCACGTCCCGCGGGACATCGGTCGCAGCGTCAGCTGCGGTCTTGCGCTTCCTAGCCATGGCTGCCAGGGCGAGAAGTTCTGGATACACTGGAGAGAAATGGCGAGAGCAGATCTGGACAGGTGAAGGAAGAATAGCAACAGAGGGTGAGCAGTTGCATGGGTCTGGAAGGTGGGGTTTGGAAGGCGGGCAGGATGGCGTTGCCTGCTGTCAAGGGAACCGCACGGTTGGATACACGGGCAGGGCGGTAGCTTTTCCCGCGCGAAAATATCACATCCTCGGACGTCCAGATGCATGCTGTCGAGCCGTGAGAATGGTGGATATTTCGACACGCGTGCGATTTTCGGGGTGTGACGGGGCCTCGTGCCACTCGTAGGCGATAGTACTGCATTTAACGCCGTCCAATGATAAATACAGTAAAAGTCGCACTACAGCGGTCCGCGTTTCAGACATTGTACGTTATATGCTGTTTTTGGGTGTCACAAAGCGATTGAGACACAAATGTCGACACAGGAATGTACCCTCAGTATCTGACCATATGTTATAATAGTCTGTTCTCTGTATCATGCGGCAAGCTTACTGCAATACTGAACTAGGCTTTTCCTCTGTCCCGAGACATAACTACAGACAAACTGAACACTACCAGTCTTCTGACAAACAACAGCTTGATCGTCAGTCAGTGTGATACATCATATGGTGATTTTTACTGAATTTGCAGTCAGATACGCAGAGCTTGTTTGTGAAGGTTACGGGGTCCATCAGCTGAAATAGTAGCTGAGCGCGAATTGAGTGGGGTTGAAGCGAGACAGAAGGGCTGGTAGCAGTTGCATGAGGATGCATGACCCAGGTGCCAATGCAGGACAGCATGCCATTGCATGAAGGGAAGGGGTATGGAAGGGAAGAATAGCGTGATGCATTTTGCATGTCGTTACAACAGATGGTATGGGATGAACCGAGGGGTTGTGGGTATAGATGGCATGTGTTGAGTGTGGTGACAAAAGCATACAACCAAGTAGTTGCTGTGCAGGCTTTGCCATACCCTGATGCGAGTGAGGGAGTGTGGGGGTGTGTGTTATACAACAGTGATGCATCACACTCGTTCAGCAACAGCTGATCCTACTGATAGCATAAGACTCACATATAGGGAAGAGAAGCAGCAGCAAGGGCATGGGGTAGAGCAGAACAGTGGTCTTGTCTAGGAAAGGCAGAACTGCAGCCAGAGCATGAAACAACAAGGGAACAATGACGGAATACGGGATTCGAAGGACAGCACGTAGGGACTCAGTGTCAGCACAACAACAGAAAGTCGTTGCCTGGAGTTGGAACAATAAGATCACATAAAACAAGCATGGGAAAGACAACAGTACACAATCTCAGGCGAGAGGTAATGGACGGCTTACCGTCGTAACCCAGGAAGTTGAGGTAGTGGTAATACGAGAAGGCGATCAGGTAGAGGGTGTTGGAAAGCAGGAGAGGGATGAAGCCCGGTGCAAGGAGGAGCGGCGAGAGGAAATATTGGACGACTGGGGAGACAGACAGGTGAAGATTGTATTGGGGGTTTTGAAGGGGGTGGGGTGTGGGGAGAGAAGGGAAGAGGGGAGAGGAGGGAAGAGAGGGTGAGGTTTGATTGGTGTGGGGCAACACAGATGAAATTTGGGTTGATTCAAATGCACATAGAAAGAGCGAGCAAGTTTTGACAGGTGCGGGGCAGAGATGGATCGATCACGGGGAGTGGGGTAAGGAAGTGGAAACGCCGTGAAAGGGAGTCTCGGATAAAAGGTAAGGGGAAATGGAAGGGGAAAAACATCTTTGACAACAAAAAAAAGCAGCGGAGGTGGGTGACATGGCTCCTACCGTAGAGCAGGACAAAGAGGGGGAAGTAGGCGTTGCAGTGCACGTCAAAGGCATACAGCCTGCACAGCCGTGAGTGGGGCATGGTGCACACAGGTCAAGGTGGAGAGGTGCAGGTGAACAGGGGGGGTTGGCTGAACAGCCATGAATCGCCATATAATCGCATGGATTCGCATGATAAAAAAGTGAGGGCATCGAATGGTGTGGCTGCAGAGTGGGATGGCATGCGTGACGACATGGTGCATGACTGGCAGCACATGGCTTTGCGTGATGCATGCATACCCTGAAACCAATACGCCATACCCCATGTCCCCCACATGTCCCCCACATGTCCCCCACATGTCCCCCACATGTCCCCCACATGTCCCCCACATGTCCCCCACATGTCCCCCACATGTCCCCCACATGTCCCCTGCCCCCTGCCTCACCACTCCACCTTCTGCTCCACTGCATGTGACGCCACGCCCCCAGTGTCCCTCAGATACCGGTTGCACACAAACCTGGTGGCGGGAGGGAGGGAGAGCAGGGGGACATGTGGGGGGGACATGGGGTATAGCGTATTCGGTTTGAAGTATGCTCCTTCTGCTCCACTGCATGTGACGCCACGCCCCCAGTGTCCCTCAGATACCGGTTGCACACGAACCTGGTGACAGGAGGGAGGGAGAGCAGGGGGGCATGTGGGGACATGGGGTATGGCGTATTGGGTTCGGGGTATGGTCTTTCTGCTCCACTGCATGTGACGCCACAGTGCCACACCCCCAGTGTCCCTCAGGTACCAATTACACACAAACCTGGTGGCAGGAGAGGGTGAGTGGGGACGGGTGGGAGAAGTGAGATGGAGGGAGAGAAACGGGGATGAGGGAGGGAGAGAACGGGGAGAAAGTTAGCGGGGAAAGGATGGAATGGGAAAGGATGGGAGAGGGGAGGGAGGGTTTGGAAGAGGGATGGGAGAGGGATGGGAGATGGATGGGAGATGGATGGGAGATGGATGGAAGATGGATGGGAGATGGATGGGAGAGGATGTGACAGCACAGTACCAGCAAAGAGTGGCGATGGCGGCACCAATGAGAAGGAAGTCAAAGACCACCACTGAGAACACCGTCAGACCCGCCTGGGCTATGCCATGCCCGTACCTGCATGCATGCACGAACGCATGTGTGTATGTATGCATGTACAAATGGACGAGCGCATGCGTGCATGCATGCACACATGCGCACATGTACCCACCATGCACACATGCACACATGCACACATGCACACATGCGCACATGCACACATACATGCATGCGGTTCGTGGAAAAAGGGGCATGCATGGATGGAGGAAAAAGAGGAAAAAGGGGCATGCACGGATACATTATGAATGCAAGCATATCATGCACACACATGAGCATGGATGGAGGGACGGACGGAGGAGGGGAAAGAGAGACGGAGGGAGGGAGGCAGACAGGGAGGGAGGGAGAGAGAAAGTGAGAGGCCGGTGGGTGTGTGAGACAAGCTAGTGGTCACTATATGTGGAAAAGGGGGGAGAGGACATGACACAGCAGAGCATGCACGGGCGCTCTATTGCATGGCACACATGTGTGGAACGGCAAGGTATCCCATCCCATGCCACCCCATCCCACTCCATTCCATCCCACCCCTTCCCAACCCACCCCATCCCACACCAAAACTCCTCATCCCATCCCACCCCACCCCACCCCATCCCCCCCCACCCCACACCACACCACCCCACCCCACACACCCCACCCCATCCCACCCCACGTCATACGCAACACAGTAGGAGCTGGCGGAGATGGCGAGCAGCATGGCGGAGATCACCACAAACGCGGGGTCGTCCCTCGCCCACTGGTTCTTCGTCTCTGCTCGGCGCGCAGGGGGAGGGGGGGGGTGAAGGGGGGTGGGGGGAAGGAAGGGGGTCGGGGGAAGGAAGGGGGTGGGGCGAAGGAAGGGATTGGGGGGAAGGAAGGGGGTGGGGCGAAGGAAGGGATTGGGGGGAAGGAAGGGGGTGTAGGGAGCAGCAAAAGGGGCGAAAGGGGGAGGGGGAGGAGAGAGGCGGGGAGGGAGAGGGGGAGGAGAGCATGCGGGTGAGGAAAATACAGGGATGGCAGTGGGGGACGAAACGAGGCAAGGGAAGTGCAGAGAGGGGCATTGCGGGAGGGGTGGGCGGCATGAGAGGCATAAGAGGGGACAGGGGGCCATGGGGGACACGGGAGGGGGGTTCTCATGGATGGGCACGGGGGTCATGAGCGGACATGGGGGGGCATAGGGGGAATGAGGCGAACTGTAAGTATGAAGCGCGAGGCACGAGGGGGTAGGAGACGAGGAGCAGGAGGGTTGAAGAAAAGGAGAGCGGAACCGGAGGGATGAAAGCAGGGGGGCGGAGGGCAGTGGGGAGGAGGTGGGGGGGGGGGAGAGCAGGGGGGGAGAGAGGAGGGATGGAACTTACGTTTGTGGTACTTGGTGTGTTGGTAGCTGGTGGGGGGTGCAGCGAGAACGGGTACAGGAGACGGGGCAGGGGAACATGGGAAAGGGTTGACGGGAATGAGATGGTGAGGCCGCAGGTGAGGGTGCATGGTGGGAGGAGTTGATCGCCGGGGATGAGGGTGTGAGATGCAGAAATAGAGACAGAGAGTGTGATTGTCGTTTCAAATACCTCTCGTGCCAACACTCGTGTTAGTGGTGGCACGAAGTGAACGGAACGGCGTGCGTGGGAAAAGTGCGTGCGAGCGTGCGTGCGTGCGTGCGTGCGTGCGTGCGTGTCAAAGGCACGTACACGACGCGCGGCGTGAGGCAGAGGTGCAGCATTTGCCAGAAGCAGTACTCCGCGTCCATCTGCTGCCACTGCGCGCCGCGAATCACGGCGGCGGGAGCGGCGCATCAGGAGGGAGGGGGCCCGACGACGGTGGCGCATGCGCGGGCGTACGGGAGCAAATGACAAATCAGAGTCACTTTTGAGAATTCTTAATTGGCAGGAAAAGAGATTTTGACGGCGGCGAAGCAAAAAGTGGGGGTGGTGAGGGGTCGCGAGAAGAAGAGCGGGACGGGGAGTGAGAAGGGGGGCGGGGGGAGGGAGGGAAGAGAAACGGCCTGTTTCCACGTGTACCTTAACAATTCGTCGCAGGTATTGCGGCAGGCTGGACTGCTGCCGAACGGGCCCCGGACGGCTGACTCGACCCATAGTGGGTAACATGGTGGCGGCGGCGCGAGCGCGTGTTATGAATCGATTGTAAACACGGAGGGAGAACGCGAGACGGGGTGCGACGAGAGGTAGGAGAGGAAGCGGAAGGCGGGAAGGAAGGCGATAACGATACGATACGATACGATGACGCCTACAACGCCTGGGAAAATGATTGTCGCGCGTGGGCCGACAATCGAGCTCGGTTTACGGATTAGTGGCAACACGTCGAAAGAGAAACGCGATCGCAGGATCCGCTTATTGGACGGCGCCGCGGTTGAGGTAACGACGGAACTTGCCGGGCCGCGAGCATGCGAGAGGTTCCTAGCGTGGTAAGAACATAAATTGTCACGCTGGAACTTATGATGCCGTCTGTCGCAGGTCGCGAAGCAAACGTGACTAAGGAAATTTAGGAACTTGCCGGACGATACCCGAGATCTGTGCGGAACGCTATAATCTGCTGCTGGAGCAAAGTACAACACGACATCCTCGCTGCAGTCATACCGTGAACTGTTGGCAATCACGTGCATAGACATCCAATTTCTCAAGCCCTACTAACTTTTTGACACTAACGAGGAATTTCAACTTGTACAATATTCTCGAAGAAGTGTACTTATGACACACTTGAACACTTCGGATTATAACTATATTTACTCCGAGTTTCCAGCCTCAGCGTGCTTGACTGGAGAGGGACCATCTGGAGGGGTTCATTGGTCAGTTTGGGGATACTATCGAAGGACGTCGCGGACCGCATCTGGGACCTATGCCTTGCGTGGGACGTGAGCGCGATGAGATTGGAGTGGGTGGGACCGCTTGACCATTGGAGTTGATGGCACCAGTCCCTTCTCGACAAGCCCTGACATGCTTCCGTGGACGAGCCGCCAGGAGGAGTGGATCTCAGGGTATGTTTTGTTTCACTCCACTCTGCCTTTTCACAATTCAAGAATCTCCTAGCTGAGTGTGCTGGTTGGTGTTTAGCGAACCTCTGTAAAGAACACCAATGATAGAACCTCTCGGTTCCCACTCTCGGTGTCCAACCCCGAATCAAGATAGCACGTGAAATTCACGCCGAAGAACCAATATCTCATTTTCCCCCGCAAGACGCGCCACGTAATTACCCTGGCGCATCCCCCATTCGTCCATCCTGCTAAAATCGGGGGCTGTCAGACAAAGAATCTGACAGTTGTGCATCCAAGGGCAGCCAACAACGCAAACCAGCCCTTGTCGTGTGGCGGCGAGCGTGTCCCTCCCCTCCCTCGGCCCAGGCTCCCCCAGCCCCAGCCCAACACGAAGCCTGGAGGGGCAAATATGCAATCGCCTGCCTCATGCAATCAGTCCGTGAACTACCAACACTTTCGGCAGTTCGGCAGTTCAGAATGCAGCATTAGCAATCCCCGTTGGGACCCCCTGTCATGGCTGAGTTAGGCTCTGACAAGAGCTTCTAAGATCCTGGCTCGTGGTGTCTTTCCGGGAGTGACCCGCAATAGCAGCGGGCTGACGGCAACAACGCCAACTAGCTTGCTGACTGCCTAGTCTCCCTCGCGATGGGGATGCACCGACAATATGTGCCCCTCGACTCCACCAAGGGGTAAGAGCTATTTCCTCCCGCTTCCTTCTCCACCTGACGACCAGAGAAGCCCACTGCATTACCCTTCTTCGTGGTCTTCTGATGCTTTGACAAGAGTTATGCTGTTGTTGCAAAAAGCTTCAGTGACTTCCATCCCTTCGTTTAGCACTAGCAGCTGTCAGGCAGATCTAGTCCAATGAACGCGCCACCGTTTTGCGTTCACAAACCTTACGTTAACCAGAAACGGATCTGAGCAAATAAGAACCAAGACAGGAGGCCACAATGAGATTTAGCAAGTCTTTGCTGGTTAACCTCAATGGTCCATGTTTCGTTATGTTTCCCCCATATACATTCCGAGCGGGCCATGTACCTCGCAGCAGTATATGCTCTAGCCTTGTCGTTTTTTCAAAACTTCTGCTACACACGACCCGTCTTCCCGCTATCTCCCCCACTTTCGCATTCGGCTCAAACGCATCATTTCTTTCATGTACCCCTGTTCGTCTCCCTCCTCCCCTCTCCCAGGGGCAAGTCCTCCGCTGCAGTGCTGGTGGTGGCGATGATCGGCAGTGTCGCCATCCTCGTTATCTCCGTGTTCATCGGCGTCAAGCTCGCGCAAATGCAGGGCATGGAACCACCGCCACCGCCCGCGAAGCTTCCGCCTCCACCCGTGAACGTCACGATCACGTCCAAGATCCAGATGGCCCTCATGTTCCTGCATTCGCAAAAATGTAAGTTCTTTAAGTGACGCTGGTTGATGTGCTTGTTCGCTGCGCCTCGGCGCCATAGAAAACGGTCTAGATCTACTTTTGCTTACTCAGGATCAGCGCATATGTACTGATTATGTGGCACCCCGCACTTGTCGCATATGCTTGACCTCATCCATTTCGCCGTCCCACGTGCTTTCACCCTCTCACCTGCAGCGGGCAAGCTCGACCCGGACTTTCCCGTCACGTGGCGAAGCGACTCAGGCTTGCAGGACGGGCGGGATCAGAACCGAGATCTTCGAGGCGGTTACTACATCGGCGGGAGCAACATCAAGTACCACTTCCCCATGGCGTATACTGTGACCATGCTGTGCTGGGCGCTGCTGGAATACGAGTCCGTGTTCCGGCTCGTAAATATGCACAACGAAATGGCGGAGCTTATTGACTGGGGTGTACAGTACATCCTCCGTACAAGATACGAGGACCTCATTTTTGCTCAGGTAAGGCTACGCGACCCGCTCCGATGTACTTTCTCAACTGGTCCTCATTCATTCACACCGAAGCGTAACATGTACTGCATTAAGAAAACGGGAAACGAAAGTCAAATGTACATCTATCTGTATCTTTTTCCGCATATGTCGGTGTTTTCTAGGTGGGCACGCCCGAGATCGACGACGTGTGTTGGATCCGGCCGGAAGACATGAGGCCCGCGCAGCGCCCCACCATGTTCCCCTGCGACATCGCGCATCCCTGCTCCGACCTCGCTGGCGAGTACGCCGCCGCGCTCGCTGCCGCATCGCTCACCTTCCGCGTTGGCAACCCCTCTTACGCGGACGTTCTTTTGAGAAACGCGGCGGAGATTTTCGAATACGCGGATCAGTACCGCGGGAAGTACAGTGACTGGGTCGAAGCAGCGCAAACGGAGTACAATTCTACCGGGTATGGCGACGAGCTCATGTGGGGCGCCACGTGGCTGTACTTCGCGTCGGGAGATTCAAAGTATCTGGACTACGTGGTCGGGCCGAACTCGTACATCTTCGAGACGAACCAGTGGGGTCCGGGCACGAAGACGTTCGACTGGGACAACAAGGCGCCCGGCGTGCAGGTAAGCTGGTGGGAATTTCATTAGACAAGCCCAAAAGTTTAGTGCGATTCCTGCTGCAAATGCGTCCGTTTCATCTCATGCACACATGTCCAGGCCGTGGTGCGATTCCAGTCGCGCGTTTTCCAGGCGCCGCCGCACAGTTTGCTCACTCGCTCTCTCCCCTTCCGTGGGTCTGGCTGTGCAGGTGCTGATGACGCGGCTGCTAATGCTGGGGTACGGGGCGGGCAACGAGGGGCAGATCCCGCAGTACCTGCAGACGTACCTCAACGCCGCGAAGCTCTACGTGTGCCAGCACACGCCGCACTGGCTCCACGCCAACTTCACCGACAGCGGTACGTCTCCCTTCTGCCGGCCCCAGTTTTATCTGTTTGTCTGTTCGTGTGTCCTTAATACACTTGTTGAACTGTCACCCAACAATCAGTTCCTAGATTGCGGCAGAAATGAATCAAACTGAACTATACGAGTTGGGACATGGTGCAAATGTTGCCTCTATGCGCGGAGAGATCTTGTGTTTTGAATTGCATTATGACCATCGTCGCGTTATCGCCTGCTGCTCTCTCGACGTGGGCGTGCAGGCGGGCTGATCTACGTGAGCGACGACCATCCGATCCAGTACGCGGTGAACGCGGGGTTCCTGTCGGTGCTGGTGAGCGACTACCTGCGCATCGCCATCAACGCCAACGTCTCCTCGCACTACCTTGACTGCGACGCCACCATCGACGACATCGTCGACTTCGCCGCCTCGCAGGTGCGCCACCCACCACGCGGATTTGCAGCCCGGGCAGTCTGTAACCAGCATTAGGGTTGCTGCTGACGCTTCACGAAGTTCTGTGCTAGAAGTGAGGGCTGTTCGCGAGACAGCTTTCTTCACCGGACATTTCTGCTGTAGTGTGTCCTCAGGCTCGTCTGTGTTCCGTAATTAACTTGCTGGTTCCTTCCCGCCTTCGTTATTACATCCTCACCTGTGCAGGTGAACTACATCCTGGGCGACAACCCCCAGAAGATGAGCTACATGGTGGGCTTTGGCGACAACTACCCCACGCGTGTGCACCACAGAGCCGCCTCCATCACATCTCGGCATGTGGACCCCACGGCCTTTGACTGCGTCACAGGCCGCAAGTTCAAAAAGTGAGTTGATCCACGCGGTTGTTACTTTAGAAAACCTGAAGCGCCCGTGACATGGTGTGAATCGCACAGCCATTACCCTGGAAAAACATTGCAGGATTGTCCAGCTGCGCACTAAATCCACGTGGGAAATCCATCCGCCTTCTCAGACTGAACAAATATGCTGTATCTCACCAAGTGTTCCACCGTCCTTGGTCCCCTGTGCCTCAGGTCCAAGTACCCAAATCCTAACGTGCTGGTGGGAGCAATCGTGGGCGGTCCAGGCCGGGACGACTCATACCTGGACGACCGCACAATCCCCCAGCAGAGCGAGCCCCTGCTCTACGTCAATGCTGTCTTCGCCGGCCTGCTCGCTAGCCTGGGTGCCTTCCGCAGCGGCAACAGCCCGGGTAACTCGCTCACGCGCATGTGGGCGCATATTCCCTGGGCCAAGAAGTACGCCGAGTCCCTCGAGGAGCTCATTCCCAAGCCCTACCCCTCGCCTCCCAAGCCGCCCGTCTCCCCACCCCCCTGGAGGACCCCTCCCCCGAAGGCCCCCAAGTTCCCCCCCAAGCGGAATGGCCCCAGCCCTCCCCCTCCGTATGTCAACCCTCCGCCTCCTTCGCCTCCTCCCCCAAGCCCCCCTCCTCCGCGCCCTGTCAAGAAACACACTGCCCCTGCGCCGCCTCTCTTTTACAAGGGCCAGGGGAAATACAAGGCTCCGGGTGGTGCAGATCTCCCCACTGCTCCTGCTGCGCACACCGCTCCTGTGAAAGAGATTCCAGCCACGCTCACGCCTGTTCCGGATCCAGCGGCTGGTGCTGCCGGTTCTGCAGGGGATGGCCTGCCGGCAGGGAACCCTAACGTGTTCCCTTGATTTTTGCGGTGTAGTTCATGGAATTAGGTCTGTAGTGTAGGTCGGAAGGCCTTTCATGCGACATGTTTGATTTAGGTGACTCTGTGGTGCTGAGCTTTACAGCTGAATAAAAGCTCTGATTTTCATACCTTGTGAGCATGTTCGATTCAAAATAGAGACGATGAAATAATAATTCATCAGCCTCCACAAATTTCCTTCACTGTGCCTTGCCGAGGCGCTTCAAATCGGGGACGTACCGCAACCAATTGCCTAGCTTGCTCTGGCGGCAGTCTCGATGGTGCCGTAACTCGTAGCTCGTTCACCACCGCAAATCTCAATTTGGGCGGGAGGGACTCGGGACGGGACGGGACGAGACGGACGAGACGGGTCATGGGACAAGGTCGAGGTCAACGGCCAACAGCCTTGATTTCTGAACCGCTAAGGAGAAGGGAGGGAGGGTGGTCGTGGTGCCAGCTGGTGGGGAGGAGTCGGGATGGAAAATTTGGGTTGGGTTGGGTGGACCCTGCTGGTGCTTCTCCTCCCAACCCAGCACTCAGCTGTCATTTTCAGTGCTCTGGAAGCCGTACTGTACCGTACGGTGTCCCTATCCATTTTCCAACCAACCAACCACACATTGATTGATACTGTAATTTGCAAAATCACCGACCTTCTTTCCGTGTGCTGCTGCTGATTGACCAGCCGAACCTGAGCGAACCGACGCAAGGCCTGCTTCTACGAGTCTCTCGTCTCTAACTCCCGTGTAGCGAGCATGTTCGTCGCACAGCATCCGCAGCACAGCGAGAGCAACCGAGATTTTCTAGTATTGTGGAGAGCTCTAGTATCGTCCTAGTCCGTACTGATGCGGACCCTATTTTGACTCGAAACAAACGGTTCAGTGTGAAGTGGCTGTGAACAGTCGATTGAAATCAGGCGTTTCGACGGACAAGAGTGAGCTTCGAAGTGATGCGCGAGAGCGCTGGATTCACGTACGGTGACGAGTAGCGGAGGTGGCGCAAGCAGCGACGGCCGCGGAGGCAGCGGAAGCTGTGGAGGAAAGGGAGGCTGCGTGAGCATCCGAGACAGTGGGGGAAGTTGCAAAAGCAGGATCACCGGCAGTATTAGCGGTGCGAGGAGCGGCGACAGTGGCGGCGGTAGCGACAACAAGTGGCACTTTAACGCGCGAGCTGGGGAAGCGCATGGCGCGCTAAGACCCTCATACTCCGCGCCGATCCTGGATGCGGACCGGCGGTGGGGGTGGCGGAACAGTCCGCGCATCACTTCCGCGCGCACACCGTTCCCTATGGACGTCTTTCCGCCCATCCATCAGCTTCCGCCTTCCGCCGCCACTGCTCCCGCTTCCGCCTCCGCTTCCGCATCCGGTTCTGCCTCCTCTTCCGCCTCCGCGCCTTCAATTTCCTCTTCTGGTACCGCTACTTCCGCAACCCCGTACTCGTCGCTATCCCCCGCCTTGCTCCGCCTCCCCCCGTCCTTCTGCTCCGCGTTATCCATCCGCAAGTCCTCGTTCATCCCCACGCTCATCGCAGCGCTCCTCTTAACTCTCGCCGCGTCTCGCTTCGTCTCGCTCCCCGTCGCGTCCCGCGTGCCGTCCTCCCGCGCCGCGCATGTCGACGCGGATGCATTGGCGGAAGCCGGCCACTTGGCGGAGGGACCCGCGGAACGGTGGGGGCAGGGGGAGCGCGGGAAGACCAGGGCGCAAGAAGGGCAGTTGGTAGGGGCAAATGGGGAAGGAGCGGAAAGTCCAAGGCCGCATGCGGAAAGAGCGAAGAGTCCAGGGGTGGAAAGGCCAGGGGTGTATGGGGAAGGTTCTGCTGGTGAGTGGAAGCACGGCAGTGGCGCGTTGAATGAGTCTGCAGGCACGCTGGGCACGGGAAGCATGGAAGCGGAAGGTATGACTGAGGGGAGGAATGAGGGGAGGAAAGAGGGGGGGCGCGGGCGAGAGAAGGAGATGGATAATGAAGGCAATTTGAGTGCGGCTGGTTTGGGAGGGCAGGGCGACGGGCTGGAAGACGATGGGGATTTCAGTGGCGCTATTGCAGTGGACGGGAGGTGCTTGGTGTGCGAGCAGTTAGCGAGGTCGCCTTGTATCGAGGATGCGCCGCAGGTGAGGTGGTTACCAGGTAGCAGTAACGAGGGCGAAGGCGCGGACGAGGGGGATGTCGTTGGTGGGTTCGGGGAGAGAGAGGAGGTAAAGAGGGAATGGCAATGGACGTGGAACGACAGGGATAGCAGCGGCAGTAAGAGCAACATCACTGACAGGAATACCCTCAACAGAAGCACCAGCATCAGCAGCAGTAGCAGCAGCAGTAAGGGGAGACAGTGCGTATTTCACAAGATGGCAAGCAGAGAGGCGTTGAGGCAGCTGGCAGGGACATGGATCGTGGTGGCTGGGGACTCAGAGGTGCGGCAACTGCTGGTAGCGCTGCTGCAGCTGCTGCTGCTGCCACACAATGACCCGGCAGCCATGGCTCCCGTGCACCGCTTTGTATCGCTGAAACACGCCAATTTTCACCACTTCATCCCCTCGCACCGCATCCGGATTGATTTCTTCTGGGCGCCCTTTGCGCCCAATATCACTGCTGCTGTTGCTGCTCTGCCTGCCACTGCTGCCACTGCTGCCGGTGGTGGCACTGGTGGTGCTGGTGGTGCTGCTGCTGCTGTATCTGCTTCTGGTTCGGTCTCTTCTGCTCCTGTGCCTGCTGGTGCTGGCGTTTATCAAGAAGCTGATTCTGCTGCTGCGACCCAGCATATGGATAGCAGCAGCAGCAGATCCAGAAAGGGGAGGATGGGTCAAGAGGTGCAAGGGCAGGATCATGGACCTGGTGAGAGAACACAGCAGTATCAGCAGCACTCGAGGCAGCGGCTGCAAGAGCAACAGCAGGACGAGCAGCGGAAACAGACTCACCAGACGCAGAAGCAGAAGCAGGAGCAGGAGCAGGAGCAGGAGCAGGAGCAGGAGCAGGAGCAGGAGCAGGAGCAGGAGCAGGAGCAGGAGCAGGAGCAGGAGCAGGAGCAGGAGCAGGAGCAGGAGCAGGAGCAGGAGCAGGAGCAGGAGGAGCAATCATCACAACACCACTCCCAGCAAAAGCACGTATTTGTCCCAACCACACCCGTCTCCCTCTCATCCCCTCCGTCCGCTGCCGCCCCTCCGCCGCTCCCACTAACATGCCCGAACATTGTGATCCTGGGATCGGGCCTGTGGCACATGCTATGGGTCACGGACCCACCTCACTTTGCAGCAGAGCTTGCTGTTCTCCGCTCAACCGTGCTGCGCTTGCTCAGATCGCCCCGTTGCTCTGCGTCTCCGGCTATCACTGGTGATGATGTTGAAGAGGGTGATGGTGGTGCTGCTGCTGGTGCTGCTGCTGCTGCTGCTGCTGATGATGATGATGATGATTATGGTGTGGGTGAGGGAAGTGTAAAGGCAGGAGGAGAGAGTGTGGACCAAGTTGCAGTGGCTGTGGTGGAGGGAATGAGGAGAGCTGCTGCCAAGGAAGGGAGTGGGGGAGGTGGAGAGGTGGATAAGAGGGCGGTGGAGGAGGGAGAGGGGGAGGAGGAGGAGGAGCAGGAGCAGGAAGAGGAGGAGGGAGGTAGAGAAGAGGGTGTTGGTGTGAAGAGGAGAAAGGGGTTGGAGAGGTGGGGTAGTCAGGGCGGAAAGCTGGGTGAAGGGAGAATGAGCGGAAATTTCCGGAAAGGGGTAGGAGCAAGGCGGAGGGTACAGGAGGAGGGTGCATCAGGGGTTGCGGAGGATGCAAGAAGAGGAGGTGAGGGCGCAGGGGGTGCTGAGGGCGAGGAGACTAGATTAGGGGCTGAGGAGGCAAGAAAGCACGAGGTAGAGGAGCTGGCGGATGGACCTTCAGAGGAAAATGGTTATGGAGAAGAGAGAGCTACGGGATCTGATGCAGAGGGGGATGAGGATGAGGAGAAGCAAGGAGGAGAGAGCAGAAACGAAGGGGTGGGGCCTGGGGAGGCGAGTGGAAGAGTGGGAGAGAGGAAACGTGAAGGTGAGGGATTGGGGGTGACAGGGGGAGATGGAAAGGGAGAGGTTGAGATGGTGGAGATGGAAGAGGGTGTGGGGGTGGGAGAGGAGGAGGAGCAGGAGGAGGTGATTGGAGGGAAGGTGTTGGGAACAGGACCTACAAATGGGGAAGAACGGACGGTGGGAGGTGATGGGTTGGAGGGAGGAGAATTGAAGGGATTGCGAGTTGATAAACCGGAGGGGTTTGAGGGGGAGGGAGAGGGGGAGAGAGTGGGAGGGGGAGTGGGAGAGGTGATGGACGAGAGAGTAGTCAAGGGTGACGGAAAGGGACTGTGGAGTGAAGAGGGGGAGCAAGAGAAGGAGCAAGGGGAGGAGCAAGAGGAGCAACAAACAGAGGAAGGAAAAGCAGGGGACAGTGGAAAAGAGCACAAGGGGAGGGTAAGGGAGAGTGAGGACACGGACAGTGAGGAAGAGAAGGAGGTAAAGGATGTAGAGGAGGAGGAGAAGGAGGAGAAGGATGAGGGGGAGGAGGAAGAGGTGGGGGAGGAGGAGGAGGAGGAGGATACGGTGGTGGTGCGTGGAGCACCAGTCATGCAGCCGCTCTTCTTCTGGCTGGGACTGCCAGAGCTTATTCAGTCACGGCTGAACACGGAGAGGAAGAGGGAGAAGATGTCGCCCCGCATGGTGAACCTGTATGATGCCGTGGTGCGGCGGAGTGGGCTTCTGGTGGAGGGAGCGCATGGGAAGGTGGGGGGCAGTGTGGAGGGAGGAGAGAGGGGGAGGGAGGAGGGGGGAGAGGAGGGGGATGAGGAGGGGGACGAGCAGGGGAGTGAGGTTGAGGGCGAGGGAGAGAGGGAAGGGGGGGGTGGGAGCAGTGGGGTTAGGGATGGTGGAGCAGGGAGAGGAGGGGATGGGAGGGGAGGAAAGGCAGGCGGAGGGAATGGGAGGGAAAGGGAGGAGTCGCATCAGGTGGTGGAGCTGGGTCCCTGCGTGTTGCTGCCACTGGGGGAGCTGAGTAAGGGGTGTGGCGAGACGTGCACCCCGGATGGCATGCATTACAATGATGATACATATGCTGCTGCTGTGCAGATCATGCTCAACCACGCTGCTCGCTTGCTGTAACCTGTTGTGTAACACGGTAAGCAACGCCAGTTCTGGTCGAAACGACAGGCGTGTTGATTATGTATTGTGTGGTATTCCTTCGACCTACGGTAATTATATTGTGGTAAGGTTTACTACCACCATGTTACATATGGTGTGCTATTACGGAATGAGCTCCTGCTACGGTAAATGTGCATTTAACTGACATCATAGTCAAATAAGATGCGTTGTAACTTGTACCGTAACAGATAAAACGGCATGATATGGACGATTCGGTTACACGGTGAAATCAACCTACAGGGTTCAGTAAATGACAGAAGTGGACAGAATATAGTTGCACCACCGCACCACTTAGCAACTCCAACACAGACAGCAATCACGGTACACGTGAACTCACCACAAGTAGGCTACCCAAGAGTTCTCATCCCTCCCTCACCCCTCCCTCTTTCTCTTCCGCTCCCTCACCGTAACGCAAGCAGCACAGACTCTTCAAAACAGGGCGGGCTAGCAGGGTTGGAGATTTTACAGGGAAGGGTAGGTTAAGGGATGGAACTTGGAAAGAGCTGCTGGAGGGTAGGCTGGCTGGCTCATTCACACGACAGGGTGGGGGCGTCGTCCTGGGCAACTCTAGTGAGGCGATGGATCATGGAACACCTGCTGGAGGCGATGGCAACTCTAGGCTGGCCCATGCTCAACCCCTCTATGACAAACTGCTCCCCGTGCTTTGAGAGACGTCTCAACTCAAAACACCCGAGGGCAGGGTGAGAGAGGAGGAGAATTCACACGACAGGGCGGGGGGCCTCATCGCGAGCAACTCTGGTGAGGCGATGGAACACCTGTTGGAGAGTGGGCTGGCTCATACTGAATCCCTCTATGCCCAGCTGCTCCCTGTGCGCCTCCAGCTCACTCCACACACGCGCCAGTCCCCTCAGGTCATCTACAGGTACCAGGAACTTCACCTGTACACACCCACTGCCGCCGCCGCTGCTGTTCGCGTTTTCCCCTGAGCCTCCTGCTGCTGCTGCTGCTTCTGCTGCTGTCACTGGTAAAACTGAAGGGTCGAAGACTCCGGATGAAGCTGCTGCTGCTGCGGATGCGGCCGCCGCTGCTGCTTCGGAGGGAATGGCTGCTGCTAGCGTTGCTGGTGTTGCTGAGGCGTCGCTGGGAGGAGAGGCGGGTGGCACGGTTGGGAGCACGGGTCTGGGGTCGCTGTTGTGGCGAGATAGATCACTGAGTTCGACAATTAGCTGCTCTGCACTTACACCTGATGCTCCTGCTGCTCCTGCTGCTGCTGATGATGAAGTGGCTGCAGGTGCTGACGGGGACGCCATCAACAGCTGCTGCTGCTTCTGATGTTGCTCCTCCTGGCCCCCTTGCAACACCACATCATCTTCCTCCACTCCCAGCAGATTCCCAACCTCGGGACCAGCACCAGCACCACCACCACCACTACCCGTAGCAGCAGCAGGCATGAGCGCAGGAGCGTCCGGGTGCAGATGATCCGCGGCGTGTGGGGCGCGGTCGGAGCGGTCAGAGGTGACGGGCAGAGGAGCAGCGTCGTCGTCGTAGTGCTCGGAGTAAGCCGGGGCGATGGAGGAGAGAAAGATGCGGATGCCAGGCAGGCGGCGCAGGTGGGCGGAGAGAAGGAGCGTGTATGCCGAGCCGTAGCGCGCCTTGAGGGCCTGTGGAGACCCCAGGCACTTGAGCTGGCCGCGCACCAGAATGCCCACACGTGAGCTGGGGGGGGGGGGGAAGGGGAGAGGAAGGCGACAGAGGGGGCTTTGAGTTGAGTGGGAGGTGGCATTTGAATTGAGTCGAAATGTGGGGATTTCAGGCACTTGAGCTGGCCGCGCACCAAAATGCCCACACGTGAGCTGGGAGGGGAAAGGGGAGAAGGGAGAGGAGAGTGAGAACAAGTAGATTGGGAGGGATAGTGGGAGGTTATGGGAGAGGGAAGGGGAGGAGGAGGGAGGGGGCAGGCAATGAGAGAGAAGAGGAGAGGAGAAAGGGATCGTTGAGCTACAACCGGAAATGCTATGCCAACCATCTGAAACGAAGACATGTTTTAGCATACCACCAAAACATAATTGGCCTTTTCAGTTCAATTCAGCTCGTATATCGTGAGAGGGACAAACCGAGAGGAGGGAGGGGAGGAGAGGAGGAGAAGCAAGAAGTACACACCCAAGGGCCTCGGCCTCTTCGACAGAGTGGGTGGCGATGAGGGTGGCACGGTGCGGTGCATCGGTGAGAATGCGCCTTGAGACATCTCAAAACACTACTTCTAACACGTGGAGGAGAAGCAAGAAGTACACACCCGAGGGCCTCAGCCTCTTCGACGGAGTGGGTGGCAATGAGGGTGGCGCGGTGCGGTGCATCGGTGAGAATGCGCCGCCACAGCAGGCGCCGACTCGCTATGTCCATGGCTGGTGCGCAATGGGCATGACAGCAACCACAGCGGAAGAGGATATGGGAGATGAGGAGTGGGAAGTGGGGAGTGAAAGGGGGAGAGGTCAGCGTACAGGGCACAAAGGCATGGAGTGTGATGAAGGAATATACGGAACGGAGGGGGTGGGTTTGGGGTTGGGGGCGGTTGAGGTGTGGGGAGAGGATGGAAGCTACTACAGCAAGGTTCAATCTGAAAGGCAATCTAAAGCACAACATCCCCGTGCCATCCCATCCCATCCCATCCCATCCCATCCCATCCCATCCCATCCCATCCCATCCCATCCCATCCCATCCCATCCCATCCCACGCCGTACAACTTTGGCATGCACCGTGTGAGGGTTCATGCTCATCCCCATGTCACCCCATGCCCCGTTCCAAGCCACACAGCACCGCGTTGGCACGCATGCACCTTGCGAGGGCTCGTCCAGGAGCTGCACAGCAGGATCTCCTAAGAGCGCTACCGCCACTGCCACACGCCTTTTGAGGCATGCCTTGTACAAGATGTCACAACACAAACCATGCGCGTATTGGGGCACCTCAACTGTCGTACCTTGCGAGGGCTCGTCCAGCAGTAGCACGGCAGGGTCTCCCAAGAGCGCTGCCGCCACTGCCACTCGCCTCAGCAGCCCCGCTCTACACGTGTCTATGCGCTGCGCTGCCTCGGACGCTGGGGGAAGGGGGAGAGGGGGGAGAGAGGGGAGAGAGCGGGGAGAAAGAGGGGAAAGAAGGGGGAAAGGGGGGGGAAAGTGGGGAGCCAAGGGAAGAAGGGGTAAACAGAGGAACGAGGGGGAATAGGTTGGGGGGAGAAGGTGGGGGAGAGTGTGGGAGAGAGCAAAACGGACAGAGGGAGGTGGACGGAGGAATGGGGGAGTGGAAAGGGGAGTGGGTGGGCAGAAGAGCAACAAATGCCAAACGAACAACCAAGGAGAGCGATAGGACAGCAGAAGGGAGCAGAGCAGGAGCGCGAGGCGGAGGCTTACTGGAGATGCCAAGGGATTGCAGCACGTGAGTAACAGGCGCGGAGAGGGGCTCTCTGAGGCCCTTGACAGACGCCATGAAGTGCAGATACTCCTGCACTGTCAGGAACCCGTGCATCATCTGCACACAGCGATGGTAGGGGGAACCGAGTCGGGTGCAATGTGGGGACGTGGGAATGGAAGCAGGAGAGGGAAGTGTGACGGGGTTGCAGGGAATCCTGCACTGTCAGGAAGCTGTGCATCATTAGAGAGGGAAGCGGGGCGCGGTGGTAGAGAGGGTTGTATACGCTCGTGTGCCCTTCCTGTGTCACTTCTGAGGAACCCGCAAGAGTGATATCAGCAGCGATATGTGGGCGCCGGGCTTGCTCACATCAGCCCGGGGGCGGTAGCCGATGATGGAGGGGTCGTTGAGGCACGCTCGTATAGGATGTTGGTACTACAGGTAAGCATTTCTCACAAGTGACACCAGTAGCAGCTCAAGGGTGTTTTGCTCACATCAGCCTGGGGGCAGTAGCCGATGATGGAGGGGTCGTTGAGGTTGGCTCGTGTACTATGCTTGTGTCACTTCTGAGGAACCATGCGCATGCTTGCTCATATCAGCCTGGGGGCAGTAGCTCACATCAGCCTGGGGGCAGTAGCTCACATCAGCCTGGGGGCAGTAGCCGATGATGGAGGGGTCGTTGAGGTTGGTGAAGCGCACGCTCTGCCCTGTGATGAGTGCATTGCCGTACGACAGGCAGCTCGCCCCGGCCAGACACTGCAGCAGGGTCGTCTTCCCCGCCTTCTCCCCGCCCACCAGCACCACCACCTGATGCATGGCAATCGGTGACATGGGGTGGGTGTGGGGGCACGGGGAGGAGGGAAGGGGAAAGGGGAAGGCGGTGTGGGGGGGAGGAGGGTAGAAAGAGTGGAGATTGAACAAAAGGAAAAAAAAATGCAGGAGATACATAAAGGAGAAACTGGTGTGGAGGATGAGGGGACAGATGTGTTGGGGAATTGAGAGGGAATTGGAGCTGGGAGTATGCAACGGGGAAAATGCATGGCGACACGGACGACATGACAGTGCGAGTATGCGAGTGTGCGAGTGTGGGAGTGTGCGAGTGTGGGAGTGTGCGAGTGTGGGAGTGTGCACCTGGCCTCGAGGCACTCCCAGCCAGAGGTTTGACACTGCCCACACTCCCGGGTCCTTGCCTATTCCGCATACCCCCGATGACGCTCCAAAGTTCTGACACAGGGAGACCAGTGAAGGCCATGGGGTTGGAAGGGGGGGGGGGTGGCAGGAGAAACATAAGAGAGCGACAATAGAGGTTTGACACTGCCCACACTCCTGGGTCCTTGCCTATTCCACACATCCCGGATGACGCTCCAAAGTTCTGACACAGGGAGACGATTGAACGCCATGGGGCGGGGAAGATCATAAGAGAGCAACTATTGCGAGCCAAGGGGGAAGCGGGACAGAGGGAAGCTGTGAGGGGAAGAATAGGCCAGATGTGACTTGTCTCTTACACTTGCAAACACCCACCCACCCTTAATCCACCCCCTCCCCTACCCCCACCATCCCACACACCCACAACTGAAAATTCTCTCTCACCCTCTTGC